GCAAATGATTTTCCTCATTCATCCAATTCACCCATCAAAAGTGTGTCTATTCCAAAAGGAACTGTAGATCCTTCTTCTCCTGCCGGCAGTCTGCAGGAGAACTTGCCGGCGACAGGACGCGACTTTCGACCTGGGCAGTACATGCGTAAGTCTGGGGTTAAAATCACACACCTTTTGGACGAATGTGGTTGTGTGATTCTGTATGGAGCTCGGGCGTCTAGTAACTTTGCACATAAGGCTTCGCATCTCTTTGCAGGAGCAGGTGGGGTCATGTTGAGCTCGAAATGCGTTGCATTCTGGACGGGAACCCAGCGTTGGGTCGGAGTGTACAGTAGCCCTTTGCTATTCCAAAAGCATCAAGCAGCCAAAGTCCAATTTCACCCTTCAACGGCCACAATTTGGGCAAAAAACATGATCCTGTTGAGATAACGTCTGTCGCCTCTCTTCGGCGAACTTGAGCTGACGAGTTCAGGAAGAGGGGTCATGTGGTTTGATGCAAAACATGAAGGACGAAATAGAATGCTTTGTGTTAATGATGCCTAACATTAAAGTATAGAAGTTGTTTGATCTGGTTTTCGCAACTTGCTCATTTTGGTAGGAAGACTTAGACGAACGTATGCATGCTCATTTCCATGTTAGGACCGTGAGCTTGGTACATTCGCGGACGTTTCGTCGGCATCGTGGTCGGCAATTCGTCAAAAACAAACAAACAAGTGAAGCCGATTATTTGACCAATTGTCTGCTAAACCATCGTGGTATCTGCTCCTCCACACTGGGCCAATTACCAATCATGTATTCTCGTATCACAATTTTCTACTTGCTTATTTAAATGTGGTATGCTGTACCCTTTTGCGCAGATGTCATGGCAACGGACGAGTTGTTGTGTGTTCTTTGAAAATGATCATGCCTACGACAGACTCCGGATTGGGTGCGTTCCTCTACATCTTTCGACCGACATGACCAAGTTGCGAAAACAAGGTCAACCAACCTCAATTCAACGAAAGTAGACTGCGACCACACAAAAGGTCACACCATCTTGGTCTTCACAGCTTCGAGTAAAGTACACTTTCGGTCGTTTTACCTCAAAGCAGCGGTGGTTCGAACGGTTGTATCTCCGGAGGTGGCCTCTTTTCTCGTGTCTCCTGGCAGAAACAGAGCATAGGACCAGATGAAACGTCGAAGACCGGTGGGGATCGGCCTTTGCCGGAGCGCCTGCAATAGACTGCAAGGATTGTAGACCAAAGAGGTTGCACTCTTTTCTGCCTTCTCGTCAATTGGTTGCGCGTTTTCTCTCTTCTTCATCGCTTCCACATTGCGACCATTCTTTTGCTGAAAGTGGCCAGGCTGT